TAGCCGCTTACAGTGCCTGGCCAGAGTGATTGCTTCACCAGAGCACGGCCTCGCCAGCGCACGGATGCGACAGCGCACGGCTGCGGGGGGGGGGGGGGCTTCGCCAACTTACCACCGCGGGCGGGCTGGGGCTCTGGGCGGGGAGTTAAGAGACTAGGTAAACAGCAATAGATCCGGCCCTCACGCGGCCTAATCGATACCCGGCCCTCACGGAATCGGTCCCAACACTACTGATCTATCACAACACTACTGATATCCTGGTCATTAGCTGCCAGGGATAGCGTCAGGAGCCGGTAGGAGTCAAAACCCCTCATATTTGAGACATCGTGGCCCATATACTCGTGCAACGAGCCATGCAGGCGGCGAGCACCGAGTTTATGTGGCCGACGGCGTGGGCGTGGATCCGGCATCCGCGGGTCGCCTTGGACGTTGCCTTCCAGCCAGTGCAGCCATCCTCCGGCCGATGGCTGCGATGGCTGTGTCCCGGCCATACACCCGGCCGCATGATGGCTGTCATACAGCCGTCGTGCTACCCAACGGCCAAAGGATATCCGAATTTCTTGCAAACTAGCCGCCCCCCCCCCTCGCTTGGAGCCAGTGTTCGCCATCGAGAAGCGGCCGCTGCTCGCTCAGGGGGGCACGCGCAAGCGGCCTCGCCCGCCCATCTCGCAAGCAGTAGAGTCGAGCGGCGGCGAGCTTCCACAGTCCTGCGAATCGGAGGCTGAGGATTCGCCGGCGGCGCGGCCGCTGTCCGCCGCCGTGGCGAGCGCCGCGTGCGACGGCGCGGAGGCCATCGGCCGCACCATGCTTTCCTGCTTTGGAGAGTGCTGCGGTGAGGATTTCCCAAGCGATGACGACGGCCTCGTCCTGCCAGTCGCGACCTCCTCAGCCTCTGGTCACAGACTCGCGCCGGACGGGACGATCCGGCCAGTGGCTGCGGCGGCGCCGGCGCCGCTGCCGCCGCCACAGCTGAGCGATCTCTCTGCCGCTGCGCGCTCCACCCTCGCCGCCGCCGGTCCCGCTCTCACCGTGCTCGACGCAAACGACGGCTGGCTTGTGATTCGCGACAACCGCAACCCGGCGGTGCGGCTGCGCTGGCTGCGTCGCACCGACGGCGTCCTCACCTGGGCGCAGCCGACGCCGCCGCTCCGCCCCCTCCCCTCCGACGTCGCGCGGATCGCGGCATGCGGCGAGCCTGCCCGCTTGGGAGGAGGCACCTTGCTGCCGGGCAGCACACCGCGGCACCACCCTCACAATACCTCGCGACGACGGCCACGATAGGCGCGGCAGCCGAGCTCGTCTCTCCTGACGCCGCGCCGCTCGCACCGGCGCACCAGTCAACCGCCCCGCCCACGCCCCTCTTCGGAATCTACGTTGCAGCCGAGGCGTCGCCAGAGGGAAGCGGCCTTTCTGAGCCTCGACGCCGCGCCTCACACCGCGAGACGCGCCTGCGAGTAGGCTTTCTTTGGGGCGCCCGCCGACGCCGCTTACCCGGCGTCGCGCAGGGGCAACCACCCCCCCCCCCCTCCCTTCCCCCCTCCCTTCCCCCCCCCCTACCAGAGCTCTAAGTTTAGACTCGTC